TTTCCAGCCTTCGAACGACCGGACGACGACAAATGTTCTCAGGTACACAGTTTTTCCAGCCTTCGAACGACCGGACGACGACAAATGTTCTCAGGGGCATAAAACGCACCCCTGACGGGCTGCGAGCACCAAGCGGAGTTGAACCCACGACCTGCTAAATGTGACGTGTGCGCCTTACCAAAGGATGTAAAAAAAAAGAACCAAACTCCCGGGCCCTTCGGTAGGCCTTCCCCGGGCCCTCGTGGTCGGTCGATCATCTCAGGGTCGCCACTTCGCCAAAGCAAACACCGCCGAACTACCGTCTTCCCCCGAGCACAACGCACCCCCATCTTGGCTGTACCGGCCCGGAAATATAGGTTGCATACGTTCAATTTCAGGGTGCGTTATGCTCGGGGGAAGACGGTAGCACACATGGGACCATCGCAACTCAGCGTGGATTGTCCACTCTGGACCACAGGTTGCAGGGATCAACGGCCAGCAACAGAGGACGGCCCGCGCCGCACTACTCAACCGAAAATGCAAAATGGAGAAGGTATATGACCCAATAACGCTAACAGGTGCACGCACCACGTTTTTCGTCTTTTTCACATTTGGTAACTGGCGCGACGAGCCTTGCAGCCGATTTTGTTCTCCTCGCTCGGTTCTATTACCTCCTCTTTTCGCCGTCTCCCGCCCGTCTCCCGCCGCTTGCTATCGCAACTCTCGGCCGCTTCGCTGCCTGGCGGGCGAGCGCGCGCGCGCTCAAGCCACGTCAGCTAGGCAGGCAGGCGGGAGCGCGCTCAAGCCACGTCAGCTAGGCAGGCAGGCGGGAGAGATCTTTTTAAAGATCTCTCAAGATCGCAGTAATTGGCGGTGTATTTGGTCACGCGATTGCAGGCGGGCGCGGTTTGTGTTTTTGTTTTTGTTTTTGTTTTTGGTTTTGGTTTTGTTCTGTTTCGCTGGCGGGAGGAAAACCATTTTTGAAGGAAAGAGAGATCGGTATTGAAAGGTGAATTTAAGAGAATTGGAGAGAAGATTATAGCGTTTCTCAAAAAAAAAAACGGAGGAGAAAGGAGGGAAAAAAAAGAAAAAGAAAGAGAGATCGTTTTGTCGGTCGTGACAGGGCGGGAAGTTTCAAGTGACACGTGGAGGGGGTGAAGCGGAATTTGAGGAATTCGCGCGCGAAGAAAGGAGGCCGGTCGTAAATTGGCGGGGGCGGGAGGTTGCACGCGACACGTCGGACGTGCGGGGAGCTGGACAGTCAGGAGCGCCGTCGGCAGGCGAACGGTGGAGGTGGAGCCACGTCATCACACGCACAAACCGTCGTACATCCGTCGCACATCCGTCGCACCTACGTCGCACCTACGTCGCACCTACGTCGCACAAGGCCGGCGGCGGGGGGAATCGATCGGAGCGATCTTATCATTTGTCGTTGGTCGGCGACGGCGACGGCGACGGCGGCGGGCTTCCAGCTGCGCGTCGTCACACGTTTTTTTTTTTTTGAACTCGCTGCTGCGCTCCCGCTCTTTTTCTCGCGCTGTTTCCTGTTTTGGATTTGGAATCTTCTGGGATCTTCGGTGACACGTCAGCAATCATGGTTTGCATACGGCAAGCAACGGTAAGTAACAGAACCAGCTGACACGTGTCTGTCAATTGGCGCCTTGCCGTCTCACTATGGTCCAAAACACTCTACAGCTGACACGTGTCCTGTCGAGGTTGTCCCCTCGAGAGGGCATCGGTCCTCCCTGCACGACTGGCCAGATGTCAGGACTGAAAAAAAAATGGCGATGGTGAATGTATCTTTCCATCCTTCCGGGGAAGATGCACTACCGTCTTCTTCCCCCGAACACAACGCACCCTCATTTTGGCTGTATCTGGCCGGAAGTATAAGTCGTATACATTCATTTTTAGGGTGCGTTATGTTCGGGGGAAGACGGTAGCTACTCTACACATTTGGTGATTGATTGTGCAACGAAGCCCGTACTCCCACGGTTAAACTTTCCTCAACTGAATTCTGGACGCTATTGCGGTCGTGTTCATAGCCAACTGACACTGACCTTAATTGCTGTCAGATTCCCTCCTCTCCCTCTCGCTTTTCTCTCTCCATCTATTGATGTACATGGTCGTCTTTTTTCGCACGCATTAGTCGACGCCGTCCTCCGCCATCGTCTCTCTCTCTCTCTCTCTCCCTCTCTCTGTGTCCGTCTCCCACGTCCTCCTTCTCCCCTCTCTCGTCATTTCTCCATCTCCTACCTTCTCTCTCCTATCGTTTATCCTCTATTGTGACGCACAATCCCTCGCTTTTTCTCATTACACGTCTTCAACTGCTTGTCTTTTTTCTCTCCTTTGTTCCCCTGTCTGATTCTCCCTCTACCGTTCCCGTTCTCTCTCTTCTCCTGCCTCCCTCTCTCTCTCTTCTTCCTCCCCCTCTCCTCCCTCCCTTTGTCTCTCTCTCTCTCTCGTGTCTCCCCCCCCCTCTGCCCCTCTTTTCACGAACAAGATCGACCCACGTGTCTCGGGTTATCTCTTTCCACGTGTCTCGGCTGGAAGATTCCCCCCGCTCTGCTCAACTGTCATCTCTCTCTCTCTCTCTCTGTCTCTCTCCGCCTGCTGATGGTACGCACATCGGCTTCCCTCATGCTGCCCTCTCTGCTTGTCTATCTGTCTGTCTCTCTCTCCCCGTCTGTTGACCGTACGCATATCGACTTGCATCATGCTGCCCTCTCTGCTTGTGTCTGCCTTTCTGTCTGTCTCTCTCTGTGCGAACCAGATCTATCCACGTGTCTCGATTGATCTCTCATTCCTGGGCTGGAAGAAGATTGTATCTGGTGTGCTTGACTGTCAGCCAAAATATGGATGAGACGTAAATTGTTGATTGACGAGCCGTGAGTTCAAACCATGTTGAGCTGGAGTACCAATGATAGAGTTAGGGGTTGTCCCTTCCCTTTCCAATGCTCGCCTAGGTGGCTCGGCGCGCTTACAGCGCCTGAATGTATAATACGTTTGACATAAAAGATCAGAAGTGGATATGTGAAACCAACCCAAAAGTAGATTTGTGAAATCTGAAAGTTGATATGTGAAATCAAAATTGGATACCTGAAATCCGATTGTGGATGTGTGAAATCCAGAAGTGGATATAGTTGTGTTACTAACGACTGCGATACGCGAATGGGTCCAAAAGCACACGATCTCGACTTTCCTTTTCTGTTTCTGGATCTCAATCAATACGCATTGCGTAACGCACGCTCCATCATTCACACATGAATAGCTGTTGATAAACTCTTTGACAGGATGGCCAATCATGAATGACTGTTGATCGGCAACAGTCATTCATGTGTGATCATCAATCAATCAACCAACCAATCAATTAATCAATCAATTAATCAACCAATTAATCAATCAATCGATGGATCAATCGATCAACGGCTCAGGAATAGCTGTTGATGAACTCTTTGACAGGGATTATCAATCATGAATGGCTGTTGATCGGCAACGGCCATGCATGTGTGATCATGAATCAATCAACCAATCAATCGAATGAATCAATCAATTCATCAATCAATCGATGGATCAATCGATCAATGGATCAATCGATCAATGGATCAATGATGATCATCTGAAGGCCATTGAGAAATTAAAATTCGTCGGCGATGGGATGTAGGCAAGATATGAGACCAGGTTCAGTTGTATCGTCAGTCACAGGCAAAGGGAGGAGCTGAGGATGTCGCGGGGCTCTAAATTAGAGGCAGAAGGAAGTCGGGCCCGGAGGGGGGGGCGAAGGAATGGGAGATCGATCACGTGAACTCTTGCGTAGGAGTTGTTGAGGTCGTGGGACGATCGAAAAAGGGAGAGGGAGAATGGAGATTGAGACGAATGGACACATATCGACTGATCGCGATACTGCTAAGGGCAAAACGGAGATGATAGGGAGGTGATTGTCATTTGCGGGTTTGGGAGAGATCAGTGCACGATATAGACAAGAGGTTATCTCCGCTTCTCTCGTGTTCCTGTGTGATGGATCCGCACCTGAACTCAAATAGAGTGCAGATGAGAGAGAGAGAGAGAGAGAGAGAGAGAGAGAGAGAGAGAGAGAGAGAGAGAGAGAGAGAGAGAGAGAGAGAGAGAGAGAGAGAGGGGCTGTCTCTTATACACATCTAGATGTGTATAAGAGACAGGAGAGAGAGAGAGAGAGAGAGAGAGAGAGAGAGAGAGAGAGAGAGAGAGAGAGGGAGAGAGGGTAGGGCGTGGGGAGCAAAGTGTGAAAGAACGATCAATGTGAGCTGGCAGGTTCTGCGTTGCGCATTCAGCATTCACGCTACCACCAGCGCAACAGTAGTGTCGCTCGAGAAGAGGACACGTGGCAATCCATGCGAGCCGGCTCTGTGTTGATCGTCACTGTGGACTGATCTCGGTAGGGCGGTATAAAGTCGCCAGAAGGACACGTGGGAACGGACGATCCATCATCTGATGTTGTTAAGCGGTGTGAAAGGTAGGATGAACGAGAGGAGAGGAGAGGAGGCGCTGGAAGGGGAAGAAGGAGGAGCGAGATGACGTGGAAGGAATGAGGATAACGTGGACCGTCGGGTGAGGCTAGTAAGGAGAGAGGAGGATGAGAGAGGGAGGGTGGAGAATGGGAGAGGGAGGAGCGGGAAACGTGACAGAAGGAAAACAGATGGAAGAGGTACTGACGAAGGGGAATGAGGATGGCGCGCAATGGAGGACGGAGAAGGGATGGCTGACGTGGCGGCTTGCTTCCGCTCCACGTGGACGCTTATGGGTCCTTACTGGTAGAACAGGCAAAGAATATTTCAGTGAGGGGAAGGAGGAAAGGTGAGAGAGAGGAAGAGGGAGAATAGGTGAAGAGGGTAGGACATCCACTTTTTTTTGTTTTTTAATTCTGGAAAAGATGATTGATTAAGTGTAGGACATACGTTAAAAGCGGAACATAGAAGATTGGCATGACACTCTTTAGCTAAAAAAAGAGAAAAAAAAAAGGAAAGAAATAGGACCGGTTGTGTCAACACATGTGGCGGGAAGGATGAGGAGTGGATATTGTGTTTGATCTTTTCGGCGCCAGGTAGATGCTGTTCTGTACGATCCCGATGAGAACCCAGCCACAAGAGTAATCTGCCGCGTTCGGGACGCTGTGATCGTCCCGATCGCGAAAATCTACGGTTGAAAACAGCACTTCGCGATATTTAGACAGGCGAAAAAAAAAAAGCAGCAGAAAACACTTCAAAACAGTATAAAACGTATGACAGTATTTTACTATTTGGAGCAATTGAGTTATTATCGCGTTGGAATTGGTGCTACTCGACATACTTCCCCCACGCGCCCCCCCCCCCCCCCCCCCCCCCCCCCCCCCCCCCCCCCCCCCCCCCCCCCCCCCCCTCCCCTTTCTTCGTTGTTGAGACTTCATCACAGGTAAAAAATGCTGCCGTGACAATTAGCCCTACCTTCTTCCCCCAAATGCAACGTACGGTCATTATAGCTGTATTTGAGGCATCTTTCAGTCTAGATACAGCTATAATTACTGTACGTTGTATTCGGGGGAAGAAGGTAGTAGAACTAGCAAAACAGTCAGAAGAGGGAACGGAGCCGCGGGTACTGAACGGGACAGCGGTTCCAGGAGGTTCCATGTTGTGCGCCATAGCTATTTTTACGTAGTTGTAAGTCGGTGTGCTATTTCTTTTTGGTTGGTTGATCCCGGGTAGATTGACGATCTGATGTCGACAGTATTTTTTCCCCCCGTAAAATAAAGTAGTTCCTATCGGGGCAACTTTTTTTTTTGAAACGACCAGATCCATTCATTAATAACTTGGGAGAGAGGCGGGGACCTCACAATTCAACCCGGAATACTGACAGCATCAGCCAGCTTAGCTTACAGGCCATCGAACAAATTTTTTGAGGAGGGAGTGCTTGTTGTTGATTTGATCTGCTAATAGAACACAAAAAAGAAGAACACACACAGAGGAATTGTGATTCTCCCTCTAGAAGCTTATAGCATTTGGAAGTGTTCACTACCGTCGGTCCGTGAATAGAGCGCACGGTCATTGTCGCTGTATCTAGACTGAATTTGTCCCAAGTACAGCTATGATGACCGTGCTTTCTATTCGGGGAAAGACGGCAGGCTTTAGAGTAAATACTCACACTGCGACTCTCGACGGTATCTGGGCGTAATTGCAGTAGGATACATTCAGGAAAAAAAAAAGAGTGCAAGTACTGACTGCCTCATGCGGGTTCTATTCGGGGAAAGGGATAAGTTACAGTAAGTCAGGAATGTTTTCAGTCCATGTCATCGCTCTGGGGAAACGTTATCGCGAGTTGTACACAGTCGCCTTGTAATATCTATATATGCCTGTTTTGTTGTATTTGGCTGTTCCCTTCCTCTTTTCTTTGACTCTTTGCCTTTTGGCTGTGTGCAAGTGGGTCGATATGACACACGGGGGTGGGGGCAGCCGCCGCTCAACCTACATCCACGTGGGCGGCCTTGTACGCAAGAGGTTCTGAACAGGGGGAGTTAAAAGGAAGAAGATAAAAAATTGAATTCACTTTTCTTTTCTCCTTTTTTTCTTTTTTTCGCATTTGCGCTCTGATAATTTGTGACAATATATGCCT